GCCGGCGTAGGGGCGGCTGTCGGGGCGCTGCCTGCCTAGACACGCCGGCCGGCGGGCAGGACCTGTTCGGGCGGCTCCGCCCGCGGGCGCCTCCGGCCGAGGCTTTCTGCCTACCCAGCAACTTCTAATTTGGGTGCGTGGTTGGGAGCGGCTCAGCTGTCACCCTGCCTCGGGGCGCTCCGCTTCCTCACAGGCCGGGAGGTGCAGCGGGGTGCGGCGAGGTCCTCAGCCCGCTGGAGGTGCCACAGGTGCCGCTGTCCCGGCCGGGGCCCTCGGGCCGTCCCGCTGGTGGCTCCTGGCTGAGCTGGTCCTCCTCGCAGGTGGGGCAGGAGCCCCCAGTGCCCTGAGCGTCGGCCCCTGGAGGAGCCATGACGGAGTACAAGCTTGTGGTGGTGGGCGCAGGAGGCGTGGGGAAGAGCGCCCTGACCATCCAGCTGATCCAGAACCACTTTGTGGACGAGTATGACCCTACCATAGAGGTGAGCCCTGGTCCGGCCTGGCCCTCGGAGTGTCCCCAGCCCTGCAGGTGGCAGCTGCCTGCCCCCCCCATTCACTGCAGAGGCAGGAGAGGTACACAGAGGGGCTTTTCGAGCAAACGCACAACTTGAGGAAGAGCAGTTCGCTGAGCCCAGTTCTCTCGCAGGACTCATACCGGAAGCAGGTGGTCATTGATGGGGAGACGTGCCTGCTGGATATCTTGGACACAGCGGGTCAGGAGGAGTATAGTGCCATGCGGGACCAGTACATGCGCACTGGGGAGGGCTTCCTTTGTGTGTTCGCCATCAACAACACCAAGTCTTTTGAGGACATCCATCAATACAGGTGAGCCACCCGTGTGGCTGGCCCCAAAGCCCTGGGGCAGAGGAGCTCCTTGTGCATGTCCTGGATGCAGCCATGCCTGCCTGCCTGCCTGCCCATCATGGCTCACACTCTCCCTTCTCGCAGGGAGCAGATCAAGCGGGTGAAGGACTCAGATGATGTGCCCATGGTGCTGGTGGGGAATAAATGTGACCTGGCTGCACGCACTGTGGAGTCTCGGCAGGCCCAGGACCTCGCCCGCAGTTACAGCATTCCCTACATCGAGACATCAGCCAAGACCCGCCAGGTGAGCCCCCTCCCCTCCTCACAGCTGGCCAGGGACCCTCCCGCCCCATCCCAGCCAGGGAGCAGCACTCATGCCCCTCTCCCTCAACACAGGGCAGCCGCTCTGGCTCTGGCTCCAGCTCCGGGACCCTCTGGGACCCATGTGACCCATGTGACCCATCGGCCCCCATGCTGTAAGTCTCCCCGGACGGCAGGGCAGTGAGGGAGGTGAGGGTTGGGATCTGGGCTCACGCCCTGCAGTCCTGGGCCGACACAGCTGCAGGGCAGGTGGGGGTCCATGGAGTGAGCTGCCCTGAGCCAGGCCGGAGCGGTGACCCACAGCCCAGCCCTTCCTGTCCCCAAAGTGCCATGGGCACGTTAGTCCTGAGCCCTTAGTGGGGGTCCTAGGGACCCTGGCCACAGCTCAGATCAGAGCTGGGTAAGGGTATTTAGGCCCTTAGCCAGATTGGGGTCCAGGAGGGTCCTGGGCCACTTTGACCTCTTGGGGGTTCCTACCTAGGCAAGGGTCTTTGGTGTCCTCTGCCAGACCCCTAGGCAGGGTTCTCCTAACACAGGTCCTCTGTTCCCAGGGCGTAGAAGATGCTTTCTATACACTAGTTCGTGAGATCCGGCAGCACAAGCTGCGGAAGCTGAACCCTCCAGATGAAAGTGGGCCAGGATGTATGAGCTGCAAGTGTGTGCTGTCCTGATCCAGGTGAGCAGGGCCCAGCCAGCTCCCTGAGCCACAGCCCTGGCCAGCCAAGCCAAGCTGCACGTGTATTCTGGTGCTCGCGGGCTCCCTGAACCTGCTGGTTCCCCTGCCTACGATCAGTGGCATCCTTTGTGCTCCACCCTGGCCCAGGCTCAGGACACAGAGGTGCCGGATGCAGGGAGGAGGTGCAGACGGAAGGAAGCAAGGAGGGAAGGAAGGAAGGAAGTGCCACTGGAGCCCGGCCAGCCCAGGGATGGTGGACAGAGGCGACCACAGACCCTCCCGTGGATGCTTTGCAGACTGTCATGAACTGTCCCAAAAACCACTGGCACCCCAGCCCCGACTCCCCTCCCAGCCCCTGCAGCCTCTGACAGGTGCAGGTTGATTCACAGTAAATTATTTGATGGTCTTGACTCTAGTCTTGGCTGAGGTAGGCAGCTGCAGTGCCTGTGGCCTCATGTGAGGTGCCAGGAACCTTGGCCATAGGTTGGCAGCCTCACTGTTGCCTCCACCTGAGGAGGCTAGGGGGGCAGCCTGGACTTCGTCGCACTTTCCTTCCTGCCGACAGCGTCCATGTTTCCTGCGGAGAACCCTGCCTACCACAAGAGCAGGCAGGTGGTAATGGGAATTCATTGTCCTTTGACCCGGGGTGGCCTCAGGAAATGCTGAGTCCACACAGAGGCTCTGGCCTCCTCCTTGGATCCTTCTTGCTTGAGTGGGACCCCATTTTGTGTGCTTTAGGGTCCTTGAAATGCTGTGAGGAGGGCAGAGAGGGATCTAGCCATGATCTCTGGACTTGGGTAGCAGCACCCTGCTCTGTCTGCCTGACCTCAGACCTCTGTCCTCTTGGCCAAGGAACCCAGTTCTCTAGCTCCTGTGTCTAAGATGGTATCAGTGGCCCTGCCTTTTCTGGGACGGGCAGTTTTTCTGAGTCAGCGGAGGGCACTGTGTAGCCCACATTGGGCTGAGAGGGCGTGGGCCACCTCCAGGACAGGCAGTGGCCAGAGGGCTCTGTGCTCCAGGTCCTCACTCTTGACACCTGTGTCTCTCCTCTTCAGGGTTTGGATTGAAGCCAGGCTGGCAACCCTGGATTTGAGAATAAAGCAGTGTGGGGGTCTGGCCTGTAAGCAGGAAGGTGTGGGGACTGCTGCTGGATGGCTGGGGTGGTGGGGTACCACAGTCACCTTTCCCCCGGTAGGAAGTGTCTGGCTTCCCTGTCCTGGATGTGGGGCTCCCAAGATGTGTTCCGGGGCTGAGGGGCAGCTGGCCGGGGGGCCACCCTGGCTCCTTGGGGCCAGCATGCTGGAGGTATCTTTTGTCTCGCCTCTGGGTCTTTGAGTGGGCTGGGTGGGGCCTGGCGACAAGGCTTGGTGATGTGGGGCTTGAGCCTAGGGTGAACAGGGCAAATGTTGGTCTGTGGAATTCGGGGATGAACTCCACTGAAGTAGCCAGGTGTCCTGTGGCCTGGCCTGATGGGACACTGGGGAGCAGCTGCGGAGGTTTTTCTTACCGCTGGCGTTAGCCTCAGGGAAGGCTGTTGGCTGGGGGCGTGGGAAGGACTGGGCTCCCAACCTAGGTGCTGCTGGCACTGGGCTGGTGGCCAGTGAGGGCCAGGCTGGCCTTGGGAATGATCTCTGCCCTGAGGTGGTAGGGTCCTGGGTGGCAGGGACACTGGCTGCTGGTCAAGGTCAGCTTCTCTACTGAGCCCGTGTGGGGCCTGGAGTCTGCTGTCCCTAGACAGCCACAGTGGGCTGACACAAAGAAGGTTCCTGGCAGAATGTATGTGGGCCTGGGCCTGTGGCTTTTGGGTACCTTGGGCTGCTCCTGGACAGTTCTTGAGTTCTGCTGGCTTGGGACTTCCTGCCTCACCCTGCCATGGACTGCAGGCCTCAGCCTCTGCCCCGCTTGAGGGTTCAGGTGGGACAGTCCAAAAGTTAGCCCTGCCACCTAGAACCGAGCCTTGCTGCCCAGCAATGAGACATCTAGGCACTTGGTCCTCTGCCTCATCATCTGGCCCTTCCTGGCTCTCTGCCTGCTGTCCTCGCCTCGGGAGATACCCTCTGGGGTCTTGGCTGTGGGGCATGGAGGTGGCTCCTGACCTGAGGCCCGGCTGGCTTGGCTTCCGGAAGCATCTTAGAGTAGAGGGTGGGAGGCTCAGGGAGGTTTGGGCCTACTCACTCAGGAGAGGACCTCGTGCTAGAGCTCCCTAGCAGGTAAGTCACACTTGTCCTTCAGAGCTTTGCTGTGAGGCCCAAGGGCACTTCAGAAGTATGTCCTCCTCCAGGGTCCGGTCTTGATGTGCGCCCTGTGGAGACTCATAGGGTACACAGGGCAGGCATCGTGTGGGACCCTGGGGTCAGTACCCAGGTGCAGTTCTGGCCCCAGTTCTTCCCACTGGGTGTCTGCTGGGGTCTAGTAGTATACAGAAGGCATGGCCAGCGAGAGACCCAGCAGCAAGGTGCCTTCTGCCTGTGTCTGTGGTGGGGGTTTAGTGCATCCTGCTCAGCCCATGCCTGGCCCTGGTCTCTCCATGGCAGCTCTGTCAGGCTGAGCAGGGGCCATGCAGGAGGTCAGAGCACCATGCTTGGCTGGCCAGGGTCTGTCCTTGTTCTCCAGGTACCCAAGGGGCCCACAGCCAACTCCTGTGTAGTTATCCCAGAGCCTCGGGATGACCTGCAGGGACAGCAGGCATGGAAGGACCCTGGTATCCAGGCTGGGGCTTGGGCCACAGGGAGGGGAGCCCAAGAAGGCACATCCTGTGTACCTACAGCTGCTCCCAGGGTGACTCAGTGAGTGTGGGGATGCAGCTCCCAGCGCCTGGACTCCTGGATGGTAGACATCCCCAACCATCCTGACAGAGCATAGCGTCCAGGCTCAGGGGGCCTGCAAACCTCCCTATTCAAGCTTCTGCACACATGGGCCTAAGGGCAGAGCACAGGGCTCCTTCCTCCGGGTGAGGGACAAGGGGACCACACTTCTGCTTTCCCTGGTGTCCTTAGCTCAGGCCCCTGGGGTCCCAAGGAGACCTCTCCAGGTGCCCGTGGCCTGGAGGAGGCAGCAGGGGAAAGGACATGTCCCCTAAGCCTGGCTAGACATGCTCCCTCACAGTGTCCTGGGCTGGTTCTGGGTCTCCTTGAGGCAGTGGGGAGTGCTCCTGTGGGTGGGAAGGCTGCATGGAGCCAGGGCCAGGGCTGTACAGGGTTGTGGGGGACAGGGAAGGAGCTGGAGGTGTGTCCTGTCTCCTGACCTCAGCCAGGTGAGCCTGGGGGCAAGTATTGTCACCTGGCAGTTACCAGACAGGTCAGAGGCACAGCAGGGAGGTGAGTGTCACCTGCACAGGGAAGTGTCCACAGGGCCCATGCTGGAGAGATAGGAGGGGTCCAGCCCAGATTGTCCCCCATAACCCTCAGGGAGCCTCTGGTGGCTCAGAATGAGGTAGTAGGAAAAGCAAGTGGGGTGGCTTAAGTCAGCTTCACCAGCCAGTGTGACCACTGTCTGGCCTGGCTGTGTGAATCACCCTGGCAGTTGTCTGCTTACCTGCAGTCCATTTGGGGACCATCACAGGACAGTGGCAACCTGGCTTACATCAGGAGGTGATTCCTACAAGGATCAAAGTCTGAGGTGTGTGACACAGGCCTATACTCCTAGTACTCAGGGAGACAGGGAGGAGGATCTTAAATTCGTCCTTTCTGGGTAACTGAGCCCCTGTCATGATAAACAAGTACAAAAAAAAATGCCAGCAGCAGAACTCAGTGGTGCAGGATCACTGGGTTCAATCCCCCAGCTGCAAAAGAGGGAAAAGCCAAGGTCACCTGGAGGGCTGCAGTCCTCTTGCACTGGAGCTTGGACCCCAGGTGCGTGGCCTCTGTGCCCTTCTGCACTGGGCACCAAGACTGCTGGGTCTGTGAGCTGGCCCAGGCTGAAGGATCTCCTGGAGACTCCCCGAGGGTGCACACTCCGGAGCTGGGAAGGCAGGTGCCCCGGGTGTGGGCCCTGTACCCACTGTAGCTTGGGGAGGCGAGGATACCAGGCTCTGGGCAGGTCCAGGTCTGTGACCCTCAAAGACTGACTGTGCCCATGTGGGAGGCCTGGAGGGAGGGAGGGAGGGTTTGACAGTGAGCCAGGACCGGAGCCAGGACCCCTACCTGTTTCCACAGTGTCCCGAGGAGAGTCTGGCTCCCTCTGAGCTGGAGAGTCCGCTACTGAGTTCAAGGCCGGACAGTGGCTAGAACCTGTCTCAAAAAAACAAAATACAAGAGCAGACTACCTGTGGTCCAACCCAAGGTGAGGCTGCATTCCCACCCCGAACTCCTCCCACCTCCAGGGCCCCATAAGGCACAGGCACACCCAGACTCCCCTCCTGGAGTCGTCAGACGCTCTTCAGGCCCGGCCCTGCCCTGGCCGGCTCCAGGTTACCCTCTAGGTCACTACAGGTCTTGGTTGGCTCGTGGAGGCTCAGGGGTCCCTCATCATGCTACCTTCTCTGCAGACCCTGCTGGGGCCAGCCTTGGTCTTGGGGAGCACATTTCACCAGACAGCACTGTTGTTCTCTACAGCCATTCTTGAGAGACTCTGGCATGGGCTGAGCTAGCCTCCTGCCAGGCTTGGGGCTCCCTGTCCCTCCAGGTCCCCCAGCAACCCTGAGGCATTTGCATACCCCTCCTTCGCCTCTCCTCCCATGGACCCTTAACCTCCGGAGGCTCCAGAGGTGGTTCAGGGGAGTCCTGCTGTATTTTCTGCCACCGCTCCTGGTCTTCTGGGAAGCACTGCCCAGAGGAGGGACCTGCTTGGAGCCCTGTGGCAGCCCACAGTGGGGGTTCCCTGCAGAAACCTCCTGGGCTTGTTTTGAAGCTAGAAGGGGCATTGTGTCCCGCTCCTGTGGCACTGCCTGTGCACAGCAGTCCTGACTAGGGGATGCCTGACCTCTGACCTGCCCCTGGGCAAGGCCCTCCCCAACTGTGCTTCCTTCCCCCTTCCCCCAGGGCAGCTGCACCCGTCACTTACAGTTCTCTTCTCCCCAGAGGAAGGCCTGTCCTGAGGGATGACTGTGGTGCCCTGCTTTGAGCTTGCGCCCCTTGCGGCGTCCCTCCAGGACCTGCCCCTAGGGCAGCCCACACCATTTCTGGGCCCACAGTGGGCAGGGAGGGCAGTTTGTGCTTAACCTCAGGCATCCAGGGTGACAAGGAGGGGCTGCTGGTGCCCCTGTGCAGCCTGGGTCTGAGTCCCCCTGAGTGAGGCAGGGAGGGAGGCCAGCCCTGGAGCCCACGGTGTGGAGCTTGGGGAGTAGGGTCGCAGACCTCTGCAGAGCCCGTACCCTGTTCCCTGATACTGAAGGCAGGGGGAGCTGGCAAGCTTGGGGCCCCATAGCCCTGACACCCCCGCTCTCAGGTCTCCTTGGGCTGCAGATGGGCCT